CAACATTCCGACGTTGAGCTGCTCCCCGTCGCCGACCATGGGCGGCACGGAGAAACGGTGCGCGAAAACGCGGAGAAAACTCTCGATAGAAACCAAGAAAGAAATCATTGCAAAGAGAGAAGGTGGTCGGAAGATTTCGGATTTAGCGTCAGAATACAGAGTCAACAAATCAACGATCGCCACCATCATCGCGAATCGCGAAAAAGTAGCTGGTGTACACGCAGGAAAAGGTGTGGTGCAGATTTGCTCTGAGAAGCAGCGATCTCCGAGGCTGGACGAGGTCGAGAATCTGTTGCTATTGTGGATCACGGAAAGGCAGATGCGAGGAGATGTCCTGTCGAGAGACATGATTTGTGAGAAGGCGAGGCTGATTTTCGAAGGATTGACTGTGAGCTCTATGAGCGGAGATGCCGACGCCGAGCGTCGGTTCCAAAGCGAGCCGAGGTTGGTTCGCCGGTTCCGAAAGATGGGAGTACATCATGTGAAATGTCACGGTGAAGCAGCCAGCGCTGATAGTGCGGGCGCTGCTGCGTTCGCCAAGGACTTCCAAGCGTTGATAGCAGAGGAAGGATATTTGCCGGAACAGGTGTTCAAATGCGATGAGACGGGTCTCTTCTGGAAGAAGATGCCCAACAGTACTTTCACAACCGGAGAGCAGACGACGGTACCAGGACGTAAAATGATGAAAGAAAGACTGACATTGCTCTTGGGAGCTAGTGCCAGCGGAGATCTGAAGTTGGAGCCCTTGTTAGTGTACCACTCCGAGAATCCGAGAGCGTTCAAGAAGCATCGCATACAAAAATCTAATCTTCCGGTTTTTTGGAAATCTAATCGGAAGGCCTGGGTAACGCAAACAATTTTCAAGGAGTGGGTGCTAAAAGTCTTCGCACCTAGCGTGAAGAAGTTTTTGCGCCAATCATGTTTGCCAATGAAAGCTCTACTGGTACTGGACAACGCCCCGGGACACTCGAAAGATCTCGACGAGGAGCTCCGCTCTGAATACGAGTTCATCAAGGTGTGCTATCTGCCACCGAACACGACGTCCGAGCTGCAACCCATGGACCAGAACGTGATCGCGACTTTCAAGAAGCTTTACACAAGGAGTTTGATGAGGCGTTATTTCGAGGCCTGCGAAGAGAATCCTCTGATGGATCTGAAGTCTTTTTTGGCGTGAGAGCTTTGACATCAGTCATGCCATAAAGACCATTGATCGAGCGTGGCAAGAGGTCTCAAACCGATGTCTGCTCGCGGCGTGGCGGAACATCTGTCCTACTTTCGGCGGAAATCGCGCTGAAGACGTCGAGGAAACTGAGAATGCCACGATCTTGGGAGAGATCATATCAGTGTCGGGAAGTCTTGGACTCCAGCTCGATGAACGTGAGGTAGAAGAATTCATCCGCGATTACGACGAAGACTTCACTGTTGAGGAGCTCCAGGCTATGTTCAATCAAGAGCGAAGTGACTCATCCAGCGGCGGAGAAGAGGAGGAGGATCCGTCAGGACCGATGTCTTCCGCAAGCATCAAAGAAATCGTTTCCAAATGGAAGGAGATCGAAAGCGTTTGATGCGAATCCGAAAATCCCCTCGGAAGTATTAAGCAGCGCCGAAATATTCGAGCAGAATGCGATCACTCGTCTTGAGCGCATCCTGAAATCGAGAGAACGGCAAGCGACCCTCGATCGATTTTCCTTCCTTCCATTAATTAACGACCAATTTAAGTAAACATCAATGTTTCGGAGAACTATGGTTCCCCCCTTGTGTTCCTATCACGAGTCTTTATATAAAATCCGTTTGTCAACTTGTTGCGCTCGTCTTCTGAAACAGCTAGGAGCGGAATATCTGGTTTCCCATCGGGACCAATGTTAAATATGGCCCCGCTTAACGAACTTCCCGCTTAACGAACCCTTTCACGGAACCGAGCACGTTCGTTAACCGGGACCCCACTGTATATTGATATTATAACCCATTCCTCAGCTCCGTTTTTGAGCGTTGCCGCAACCCAATCATCCCCCGAGCCTTTTAATTCAAGCTCTAGATGTTGTGCTGCGAGTATTCCGACTCCTCCGAAGGCTTTCCTCCCTGACGTTCCTTGTCTATTTTTTCCTATCCATTCGTATCCGTGGATTCTAGGGGGTGCTTCCTTATTCATAGGTTTCGTTTCACCTACCAATGAGATATCCGTGCCGTTCGTCTTCAGGACTTCTTCTTCAACCTGCGCCCATTTCTTCGTCGAGTTTCTCCCCCCGTTAATATTCAGGGTTGAGATCCTCAGGGACTTCACTTGATCTGTCTCATTCCCATTCGGTGATCTCCCTCAGCGCTGGCGGCGTACTCTCCTTCTGTTAGGAGCGCCGGGGTGTCGACACTGTCTGAAGTGTGCACCGGGTTCGGCGCGGCGGGTCCTCACGTCTTCAAGGACCTTGTTGTGGTTGTTGTTGCTGTTGTTGTCGTTGCCAGCTCCTGCTCCGTGGTCTCTCTCGGGGGTTCTCATGTGAATCCCTTCGAGGGCGGGCTTGTCTTTGTTGTTGTTGCTGTAGTTGGGGGGGGAGGGGTCTGTACAGCTCTCGACTCTGTCGCTCCTGGTCTCTCTCGGGTCGATATGTACCCTCTAGCGTTTATCGCGATCTGGTTCTTCGCCTAGATCTCGAGTCAGACCTCGAGTTCGACCTCGTCGTTTCTGAGCATCATCGTTTCTAGGGTTTGTACTCGAGACTTTAGTTTCCGATTCTCTTGTTTGACCACTTTCAGGTCTTTCATCAACGAGCTCATCTTCGAGTCCACGTGTTTGCTGATTTCACACACTATCGCATCTTTCCCGTCGTCTAAGAGTTTGCTGAGCTGTGGGAGTTGAGTGTCGTTGAAACCAGACATTTCGACACCGGAAGCGTTGTAATCACACGAGTTTTCACAGAGAAAAAGCTACTTTTTGGAGCTGATCGAACGCGAGCTGTTTACTCGTCGTCGGCAAACGCATTTTTTTGATTTGAAATTGCAGAAGTTGGTTCTCCCGAGGGAAACCGACTCAAACGGAGCCATCAACGACTTGATGCGACAAGACGGCGGGACTGCGTTACTTGCCCTGAGTGACTTGAGTTCCATCAGAGCCTTCATTACCACCTACTATCGAGAAGGGTGGGTTGCTCAAGCGCCAGCTGGCCACGATCGTCCAAGTCCCCCGTCAGAGCCATCGACAATCACGATGCAAGATACCGATGCCGTCGACGGCGAGTCGAGCCCTTCAAGCGACCTCTCGAGCGAACCTACACCTAAGACGTTGCATCGGTCTCTGTCATGTGATCGCCTGCTGGCCTCGATCGTCCGAGTCCCCCGACAGACCCATCGGCAATCGCGATGCGAGAACTTCATGACGGGGAGCCGAGCCCTCCAACCATTTCCACCAGCGATCATACACCTGAAGCCGTTGCAACGGTCGCTGTCTCGGAAGCTCAGCAAGGTTTGCTCCAATCAATTTAGAGAACTGAGCACCGATGAGCTAGACGACATTTTAGGATTTTCAGAGGTGCGCCTCGCGTGCGGCACCATCCAGAGCATAACTATTGGAGAATGTAATCCAGAGTTCGATGCACAAGATGCCCTGTTGGCAACAATGAGGAGCCTACCACTTTAATAAACTTTGTGATAATATTCTTTTCCTTCAGGGCTTGCGATTCTTTTCTCGATGTTGAGGTGTAGGTAGAAACTGAAAACTACTAGTCCTCGTTCCGTACTAGGACTATGAATCATACCAACCCCACGGGGTCATTCACCCGTGGCAGTAGTAAAATACGTGAGTCACCGGGGTTGCACCCCGAGTTCACGACTCTAGCATGATAGCCTTATGGTAGTACGAAACTGGGTGAGCACCCCACAGGCTAGGTACACCCAATAACATTCTAGGACGCTACTTATGATAGACCAAGGTAGTCTTATCCTATGTATATGTATGTACTAATCAGGACATGTAAGGAGGAGCCTAGACTCCTGCCTAGGTATAAAAGACCTAAGATTTCAAATAAAATTCACAGTGGTATCTCCCTCTCGCGAGACTGCATCTCTGTGTATTCCTGAACGGGCTGCTCTTCTACTCCTGACCAGAGCTACGAGCCCTGACCTTTATCACGCTATCAACTCTCTTACCCTTACCAACTGGCTGCACAGAGGTCCTGTGCATCTCCACAACGATCGAGAGGGTAAGCTGAAACTCTTTATCCACTGGTTAAGACGTTCAGCTACGTACAGCTGCACAGGGTTTTCCGGCGCATGCAGAAAGTGTCAGAGATTGAGGGTTCGTTTGATCTTCGTGATCGCGACTTGGCTCCACCTCAACTCTGTACCAATCACGTGAGGGTAATGGCCGACGCTTCTCCTGAAAGCACATCTGGTAGAAAATTCAGTCGACTCCGTGCGGTAATACTGGCGGACGACGGTTCCAATTTTCTGGCATGGAAATCGACTGTGACTACGCTCCTCCAATTAGATGGGGATGCCTGGGATGTTGTTGACAGGAAAGTAACGGCTACGGCCGACAAATACAAGAAAGCAAATCTGGCTGCAAAAGCCATCTTGCTAAATTCGATATCACAGAATCTGGTTGCCTCGAAGTTCAGCTCGACAGTCAAAGATGCTGCTGCTTCAGACATTTGGGACAAACTAAATAGGCGCCTTGGTGCGACGGCTGAAGCCGCGAAAATCACCGCGCTCTCGCGATTCTTCACATTTGGATGGAATCCTGGGAAGACTGTGATCCAAAATATGGCTGCCTGACCACTTATCAGTAGAGTTTCTATTCTACCGGACATTTTTTCTTCGGAAACCGGACATGAATCGGACGGACACTGCAGCCGAAACCGGACAAGAGGACCGGACAGAAAGAATGATTGCAAATTCGACTATGAAACCATTTTATGCATACATTTTCGACACGCTTCTCTGATAAGATTTTCGATTAACTTATTCTTCAAAGAGCAGACCCGAATTGAACTGTATCGACATATACCGTTTGAGATTCAACTCAGTCAATCTGTGGCGACGATCTGACAACAAATTCTTGTACAAGGAAAAGGTCCTCTCAACCTCGGCGTTGGAGAGGCATGCGAATCTATACACATCTGTCAATTGGTCTTGCCTCGAAATCTCCGAGAGACGCTTGAAGTCGGGATTTCTTTCGAGAACTTCCTCGAGTCGTCTCGCGAAACGTCCTTTCAACTTGGACCGCACTGAACGGAGTATAGCGAGTTGTTCCTCCATTGTCTTTGACCGAGACTCCAGCGCTTCGATAGCATTCGGTAAATCGCGAAATTGAGCGATCTGGTCGAGCTGGCTGCGCAGTTCTGGATCCTGGACCAGAGACTTGAGGGCTGTGGTGTCTGCTCCTTTTGCCTCTATTCTCGACGCAAACGAGATGATATTCTCGAAGTTGTTGTGGTGATGTAGGGCCGTGTTCAAGAAGGTTCCCCACCGTGTTACTACAGGTGTCGGGGGTAGAGCCTCACCTCCGAGTATTGATTGATACAGGTCCTTCCGTTTCTTCGAGTAAGACAATACGCTTTTCATGCTCGAGACCAGCGAATTCACCTTCGGATGTTCCTCTCTGATAATCTCGCAGAGTAAGTGGAGGCCGTGCGCCAAGCACGTCACGTGGAAGAAATCTTTGTAAAATATCCGGAGTTCTCTTCCGGCAGCAATATTTGTTCGGCATTGATCCGTCACGAATAAGCGAAACCGCTTCGGATCGTCGGAGATAGACATGACAACTCGGTTCACAATGCCGGAGAGAGTCGTCGTGTCTGCCGATTCAACGAATTCCGTATCATACAATATCGGAACTTCAGATTTTCCGCTGAGTGGGACAACTATTGTGTTCACGACTTTCCTCCTCTTACAATCCTGTGTTTCATCGATATAAATTGCGAATGGGAGCCCCTCCAGCTGGGAGTTCAGCTTCTCTCGTACTAGCTGATAGCCGAATTCGATGTATTTATCGGGGTTGGTGGCGCATACGACGTGCTGATTGGCGTATCTCAAAAAAAATCTTTGAAGCGAGACGACGTCAAATTGTACAGAGGAATGTTCGAGGAAACAAAAAGGAGGAACAGCTCGCGATTAAACGGGTTTATGTCTTCTTTCTCACTACGAACCAACGTAGAAGCGATGCCTGTCTGACTTTGAGAGGAT